CAAACATGGCTGGTGCGGGCAGCCAGGCTTGGGAGAAGACAAGGTGGGAGTCAGGCTGCCTGCCCTGCCCAGCCTGCAGCCTTTGTACCCCAAGGAGGTTCAACACCCCCAGCAAACCTTCCCCCAGCCCTCAGCAGGAGTTGGACACTCACCCAGCAGCCTCATGAGTAAGAACTGGACCCCGATGGCAAAGGACTTCTCATCCTGGTTCACCACCCTGCAGGGGAGAAGCCACGGAAGGTCATGGATCTTGGCCTGCTGGCACATGGAAGAGGTCCAAGCTGATCCCAGCCCGGGGAACCCACCACACCAGGCTTGCAACCTCCCCTGCTCACCGTAGCACCATCATGTAGAGGGGGTTGTGGGACAGGCAGGCCACCAGGGCAGCCAAGGAGATGAGGAATATGGCAGAAAGGAGCATGTGGGAGCAGATGAGAGGACAGGAGCCTGTCTTGGCAGAGGACAGCCCGTTCCCAGCAGGGATCAGGGAACAGTTCTTGTAGATCTGTTGGAAAGGATTTGGAAGAAAAACAACCTAAAGCTCCTGAAGCCAAGAGGAGGGTTTTCCAGCAGCACATCAGACCACAGCACTTTGTAGGACACAGATGAGATTTTTTCCAGCTCTAATTGTAAGGCCCAACCATGGTGTCCTGCAATGGGACGTGCTGCCCTCCCTGTTCCTCCACCAGACTCCCAGGGCATGACAGCAAATGTCCACTGCACCTTCTCAAGACTCACATCACAGAAGCCCAGAATCACCAAGGCTGGAAAAGACCTTTAAGACCATCAACTCCCACCTGTGACCAGCACCACCACATCTCCAGACCATGGCACTAAGTGCCACATCCAGCCTTTCCTTGAACACCTGCAGGAATCTCTGGAAGGTTTCCCTCCTCCCCACCTCCAAAAAAAAAAAAGGCTCAACCACATTTTTCAGGTTCCTACAGCATCTCTTCCAGCTTCCACCATCACCAGGGAGTACCTAAGGTGCCCCCTGCTTTGCAGCCCACTCCTACTCACCACTTGCTTGGGGGTGGAAGAATTCAGGGTGATGTTTGTGCAGCCAGCGAAGCAGGGGGAGATGTACTCCACATTGTTTTCCCCACACACTGGGTGGAAGATGTTCTCAGAGCAGTGGCACCCACCAGGCATCTTCACCTGCTGCTGGGAACTCAATGTACTGCCAGAAAAATAACACAACGAGGGGAGAGGGAAGTTACAAAAAAAAAAAAAAAGAAGAAAAAGGTCAGGAAGGAGGGGAAAAATATAAATAAATAATCATCCCTCTTTCTCCTGAACCAGTTTCCCCATTTGTGTTTGGCCTGGGACGCTGCCAGCAGCTGGTTGGCCTCCTGCCAGGCCCTGATCCCCTGCAGGTACCTCTGCAAGTGCTCAGTGAGCTTCAGTCCTTCTGTTATGTCTGCAAACAAGTCCTCACACATTCTTTCCACCACTCTCCACCCCACACCCTCCCCCATCTTCTTTCCCCCCCCATCCCCACCTCCAGCTGAAAACTAATCAGCCTGGAGAAACGTATCTGGGCTCCATCCAGAAGTGCAGAACCAGATGTGTGAACATTTTCCCCAGCTGGAAATCCCATTCAGACAGAAACTGGAAGTGGGCTGGTTTCCAAACAAGCTTGATGACAGCGTGGAAGTCAAGAGGCCAAATGGAATGATCTGTCCTGTCCTGTCCTGCTACCTAAGGGGACTTCATCTGCTGGAGGAGCAGGGACCTCTCCTTGGGCATGGTGGGATGGGGGGGCAGAGCTCATGGTCACCCAGCTGTGTAGCTGGGGATCAAGGGCAACACCCTGCTGGTGCACGGGGAGAGAGGTTCCTCAGTCCTTCCCCAGGTCCATGGGGCTGGAGGCTGATGGCCTGGGAAAGGAGACATCTGTGCAGAAGCTCCTGGCTGGCAGAGCTCTGGGAAATGAGCCCCAAGGCTTGACAGCAGGTCTGGGGTAGAGTCGAAATGTTCTTGTCTTCAAAAGACACATTAAGACCCCAAAGTTTCTACCCAGGGGAGGAGAAAGGTGATGGTAAAAGGTGAGCATGAGGTGACCTGGGGGTGAGGTGTCCATGTCAGATGCAGACACAGGTAACTGATACTACTAATTTCCCCCGCCTCTAGAAATCCAGAGTGGAAAAAAAAACCCATTCTGCTGTTTTCCTTTGGAAAATGAGAAGTAAATGTCTTCCTAAGGTTTCTGTGCCAGTTAGTGCTCAGATCTCCTCCAGCCCGTGGGACCAAGAAGCAAGCAGCAGAGTGGTGGGATCTACTACAGCTTCCCCTCCTCCTGCACATATCCCACCCTCAGGAGCTAGAGGACCTAGAAACATCCCCTGGGCCTGCATTACCTGGGGGGGTAGATGCCATGGATCCTCCCTTGGGAGCAGCCCATGAAGAAGATGGGCAGGCAGATGAGGATGGAGAAGACAAGCACCACCACAGCAAAGCGGGGGATGGCCCGGAGGGAGAAGGCAAAACGTTTCATGATGATTCCTCCCAAGAGCATCCCCAGAGCTGCTGCTGGCAGGTTCACAGCTCCTGCAGAGGGTGGAAGGCATTAGTTAGTGTCACCGAGCATCTCTCTAAAGCTCTGTGAATCTCATGGTGGTTGGGAGAACCCCCAGAACCTCAGGCTGGTACCCGAGAAACCCTAAACCCAAAGGCAGTTGGTACCTATGAGAAACCTCAGCCTTCAGGGTCTGCCTGAGAGGTACAGGATCAAGCTGGGGTGTCATCACTTGCTCTTGTCCCTGCTTTGAGCATCAGAATGACCCAGACCTGCTTCCCCAACGTGCTGGGGCTGCACCTTTGCAATGGGGGTGGTTGCTGGCCTGGAGGGGCTGGTAAGTAAATGCAAACCAGCCTGGCTTGCAGCCTTCTCAGGTTGAGAGAGACCTCAACCATCCCTGCTGAGAGAGTTGAGGTGTTCAGCCTGGGGAAGAGAAGGCTCCAGGGAGACCTTAGAGCCCCTTCCAGTGCCTGAAGGGGCTCCAGGAAAGCTGGGAAGGGACTTGGGACAAGGGCAGGGAGGGAGAGGACAAGGGGGAAGGGATGAAACCTGGAAGAGGGAGATTGAGGTGAGCCATGAGGATGGAAGTGTGGAGTGTGAGGGCGGTGAGAGCCTGGCCCAGGTTGCCCAGGGAAGCTGTGGCTGCCCCCTCCCTGGCAGTGTTGAAGGGCAGGTTGGATGGGGCTTGGAGCAGCCTGGGCTGGTGGGAGGTGTCCCTGCCCATGCAGGGGGTTGGATCTGGATGATCTTGAAGGTCCCTTCCAACCCAAACCATTCCATGGTTCTGTGAGTCACCTTGAGATGATCTCTAGGTCTCATTTGAAAATGAGTTTCCAATTACTTCCTCTAAAAGGATTAAAAAGCCTGGGGCACCTGGGCAGGTGTCTCCCTGCTGATGGATATTTCCCACCCTGTCTGTGCTCACCTATGAGGAAGTTGGCATAGGAGGAGGAGGCACCATACTGCTTCTCCAGGAACTTGTTGAGGAATGTGGCCAGACCCGCAATGACTGAGGAGAAGCTGCACTGAGCCAGCACCAGGAGGATGAAGAGGGGGTTGAACAGTAGCCTGAGGAAGATCTTTGGGAATCCTACAGGGAATCAGGAGGAAAAATGTTATTTCAGCCACGTGATCCTCATGTCAGCAATTCCTACTGTGGAAAAATAACCACCCCACCCTGAGACTCTTCCCAGTGAGTTAACACAGACCATGTCCAAGGCCATGGGAAAATGGAAGGGGAGACATCCTGACTTGGCCAGGCAGCTGTCAGGCCCGTGGCCAAAGTGCCCTGAAAAACAAGGTGGAGGCTCCCTGTGCTTTCCAGGCTCACAACCCCCTGTGCCTTTGCTGTTCTGGAGCCTGTGGGTAGTGCAGACCAAGGCACGGGGCTCTGGCTCCTGCCCAAAAAAAAAGCTGAACATGGGGGAACATGTCCTGGTGGGACATGGTGTCTCCCTGCCCTTTTGGCAAAGGAGCCTGACTTCAGGCTCCTCAGGAGCAGCTCTGCTTAGTTGATCCTTCCAGCTGAGAGGGCCATGGAGACCCAGCCTCGTTCAGCAAAGCTCTGTGAGATGGAGAAGTGGGATCTGACAGCTCCAGGATATGATTGTGGTGGATGGAGAAGGAAGGAGGGAGAGGCTTCAGCTGGAAAGATGTCATCGTGGAGCTAAAAAAAAAGTCATTAATCTGCTCCCTCAGCAGCAACATCCCTGCTGCAGCCTGTTTCAGCTGTGAATAAACAAAGCAGGGAAAGCTGCAGGGCAGTGACCTTCTCTGGTGGAGCCAGCAGCCCCGGGTCTTCTCCTGGAGCCAGGGGTGAAGCCACCCAGCCAGCCTTTTTCCCAACATACTCAAGCCACTTGAACACTTTCAGAAACAACTGAGGCCCCACAGACCTCAGCACCACAGCAAGAGGGAGGCTGTGTCCATCCTCTCATGGTCCTCAGGGAAGCTACAGTCCTGGAGGTACCCGAGCAGGCCCTGGCAACATGGTGGAGAGACTCCAAAGCTCCCAACGAGCACCCTGGAGGACACCAGCATGGTGTTCTCCACCCACCCAGCATGGTCCCCATTCCCCCTCGCCTTTAAATGCCCTTTACTTTTGATAAACTCCAGCAGGGAGGTTTCTTCAGCCACCCCCTTCTCCATCTTGCTGAGCATGCCAGCCTCCGTCTTCGGGTCCTGGGGAGGGAGAGAAGAGCAGCCTGAGGGAAGAGCCAAGCACCTGTGGTGTGGTTGCCACCATCCCAACACCCACTGAGGCTTGGGAGGAGCAGGATCTATCTGTCCCCGATGCCTTTGACCCCCTCCCAAACAATTCCTGCCTGTGAATTTTCTCAAAAGTCCCAGCAGCCCTTGAGAAGAGAGGCAGGAGAAAAGCTTGGAGAGGGTGTAAGAACTTGGAAAGCTCTCCTCTCCTGAACCCTGACAAGATACCTCCATCTTCACTTCTGAAAAGAGACTGAAAATGAAAGTTGGACACTCAGCTCAAGCCTGAGGAGTCATAGAATCATAGAACCATTCAGGTTGGAGAAGCCCCTTGGGATCCCCCAGTCCAACCATCATCCCTGCTCCACAAACCTCTCCCCTAAACCACCTCCACCAACACCACATCCCAACCCTTCAGCACACCCAGGGGTGGTGACTCCACCACCTCCCTGGGCTAGTCCTCTAACCATAATAATGAAGTATCTTAGGTTTGAATTTTACCCTTAAAGAATCAACAATTAGACCATTTGGGAACAAAAGTCCTTTTGAAACTGGAGCAGCAGGACTTGGCTCTGAAAGCACCAAAATTAAACCTGGTGATCATTTTTTGCATCTTCTAAAGTTCCTTCTTCTGGGAAACCTGTCTATTCTTGGTGGTTTTGGTCCTATAGAGATGTGGTCTCACCTCTTCTTTTATCATGTAGCGAGGGAAGAAGAAGTAAGGGATGGAGGTGAGGACCAAGCAGCCCGAGGAGATGAGCAGCCCCAGCCACCAGGCGCCCACCCAGCGCTGGTCCCGCGGCGTCAGGGCCACTGCAGCTGCAAGACACAAAAACCCACCCTAAGAGCTCTGCTCCTGCATGGGTGAGGGTGAGAGCACTGACTGGGTTGGAAGGAACCTTCAAGGTCATAGAATCCCAGATTGGTTTGGGTTGGAAGGGACCTTCCAGCTCCAACCCCCTGCATGGGCAGGGACACCTCCCACCAGCCCAGGTTGCTCCAAGCCCCATCCAACCTGCCCTTCAACACTGCCAGGGATGGGGCGGCCACCTTTTCTCCTGTGCCAATGTCTCAATACCAAATGGCCATGCAAAGACAGACTGATGGAGCACAAAAGGTCTGTGTGGGCACAGTCCAAGGGTTTCTCTGCTGCTTTGGAAGAGCAAATGGATGAGGGTGGGTGCTCCCACCAACTTTGGTAGCAAGACCGGCCCTGGTTGTGTTTGATCCTGCACTACTGCGCCCCATCCACACTGTGCTCTGGGATGGATGTGGTCATCCTGGAATGCTGGTGGCACTGGTTCAACTCTTCTTCCCCCCACGCCAGCCAGAGAGGTGACAATGACACGGACCCGACTCCATCCTCCTCTGCCTGGGGCTCGCTGGGTTTGGACCAGGCTGCCTGCCAGGGACAAGGACTGGGAATGGTCACAGCCACTTTCCTGGAATTAAATCCTCTCCCATTGTTCCAGACTTGGTCAGTCTCTGCCCGCAGAGCCCAAGGGCAGGACTTGTGGAGGCAGAAGAGGGATCTTAACGAGCCCCGCTTCCGAGTGGATGAAGCTCCGGGCGCCTTCTCCGGAAAAAGGAGGAGAAGGTGAGAGTCACTCTGTCTCCAGCCCAGACATCCTTCTGCTGGGCCAAGCCGTGGCTCTCGGGAGGCTGACGGATCTCCTGACCCTCATGGGAACGCCATCTCCCCACAGCTGGGACGTGGCTGCTGGGAAGAGGCAGCAGAGGGTGGGATCCCTGCGCCAGAGGGTGCGGCAGGAGAGGAGCCCGCGCCCCACCCAATGTCCCTGCTTCCCCAAACTGCACCCACTCCACTCCAGAGCTTGGACATCATCTTGGAACCACCAGGCAGAGGCTGCTAAATCCGTCTCCCGCCACGGGGGAGCCAGCCAAGGCTTTTTGCCATTTCCTGCCCCAGGTTCATTTATTATTCTTATCAGGCACCGGACAAAAATGTCAGGAGGGCTCTGATCTCTCTGGGAGGAAACACAGGAAAAGCCACATCAGTGATGGAGCTGGGGAGAATTCTTTAGTGATTAAGTTACCAGGAATAATCAGCACACAGTGAAGAGCAAGACAATCAGCCCCGTGGTGGTGGTGGCTTCCTCCCTCTCTCTGCAGATGCTGGTGGAAGGTGGTGGGGAGGAGGATGAGCAGACCCAAGCACCAGCAGGGCAATGGTTGAGCTGTGGTTGCCTTCTCCGTCCACTGGAGACAGTGGACAGACCCCAGCAATGACCACCAGGGCAGCAAAGTGAGGAGGAGACTGGAACATCTCCAGGGCTCTGCTTCAGTGGTGGCTTCAAGACCACCTGTAGCCTTCCTCATGGGGGGATGGAGTGGAGAAGTGCACTTCTATCCCAGCTCAGATCTTTCCAGGGTCTGGAAAGATCTGTGGGTCACAGGATGGGTGGCTTCTTCCCCCAGGTCATCTCAGAGTCACCTTCTAATTCACAGAAGGCTTTTTAGAGGAGGACCAGCACTCCTTGAAAGATACTCACCAAGGTCAACTCTTCCAATATCCACAAAGAGCCTCAGCACCACGGACCCCAGGAGGTACCCAAAAGCAGGACCAAACACAGCGATAGCAAAGAGGATGGCTGGGAAAAAAAAGGAGCAGAGGGACCTGCCATGAGCAGGGAACAGCAGCTCCACCACATATGCTTCACTTTTGTCCCCCCACTCGAGCCAAGGATGCTGTTCCAACGTGCAGAGGAGTGGACAGCATCTTTTACCAAGTGGCAGTTGAGGAGAAGGTCCCCATTGCTGGGACACTGCAGGTGGGGTTTGTCCCACAGGACTGGGAGGAGGGCAAGCAGCTGCCTGCAGGAAAAGTCCCTCTGCTCTGCTGCCACCAAGGCACTGGGAGTTCTCAGCTCCAGGGGTGAATTTCTGTGACAAAGGAGGTGAACCCAGAGAGAGCAGCAGGGTGGTGGCATCCCAGGCTCCCACAGGTGATGGAGACCTTCTCCTACAAGAGGCCCCTCTCCTGCAGGAGGCCCCTCTCCTACAGGAGGCCAAGGAAACAAAGCCATCATAGACCTCAGAGCCAAGCAAAAACATTTGGCCTGAACTTCAGGGGAGGTGAAAGATGCTGAGAGCAAAAAATCCAGCAGATCACCCTCAGGTCAGCTGAACTATTCCGTTCAAAAAGCAGATAACTCAGAGCTGACCCCTAAAAGGTCAAAATGTTTCACTTTAACCCCTCTGGAATGCTCGTGGCCTTCCTGAAAGAAACTCCTCACACAACCTTCTCCAAAAGGAGCCAGTTTGCTCAAAGAGCATTCACCATTTCTGGGCACTTTGCTGCCCTGGTGGGTACAAAAGTGCCTGATCCTGCTGCTATGACTCACTCTGCACCTACTTGAAAGCTTCTTTTTCTTTCTCCCCAATTAGACAAGGCAGCACTTTGGTTTTTACACCACAAACCCAAGTGCTGAAGGACCTTTTAGAGGAGCATTTAACCTCCTACACAGACATTGATGTTCCCCTCCACAGGGAGATGCTGAGACCTAAACCAGAACCAGACTCCAAGGTATTTACATTGTACTGGGGCAAACCAGACCCACAGTGGGCAGAGACATTCCTTAAAGTGACCACCTGTATTATGAAGAGCAAGCCATCCCTGTTTTCCTTCATCATCAGGACCTGCAGGTTTGGGCCTCCAAAGGGCACTGAGAGGTCCAGGGACCCCTTGTCACAGGGGGAAGACAAGGATGCTCTGTCCCTTTGGTGTGAGCTCAGAGGAGCCAGCACCACCACTTCCTGCAGAGCTCCCAGGTGGTGGGGAAGCCCTTTCCAGCAGGAGCCAGGAGCAGAGGACACCTGGGTGGAGCTGGAGACCCTGCCAAGCACTTCAGGACTTATCCAAAGCCTGTCCTTGGGAGTCTAATCCCAAAGGCTTTCCCTTCTCCTTTAGTGTTTACCCTGATTTGGGAACATCTGCTCTTGACTCCTCAATGGTTCTAGAGCCTTTGGCTGCTTTCAAAACAGGAGGAACTGGGGTTTTTAAGAATTTATGGGCAGAGCTCCAAGATCAGGTAGGCACACCAGCACCTGCTGGGGTTTGCTACTCACAGGGAACAAAATGGAAGCCAGCACCTATCTCTTTGGAACCAGAAGTCCTCCTCAGCCTGAGAGCCCCCACCAGGCAGGGATCAATGACCAATTCCATGACCAAAAAGATAAAAAGCCAGTTCTGAACCCCTGATGGAAAACCTGGGCCAGCTGGCTCCTGCAGCCTGTTCCATCTGGTTAAACCACGATCAACTGATGCTCAGTAAAAGGAGGAGGTGGCACCTGAGGTTTCCTTACAATGTTTTCCTCCCATGGATGATATAACATCTGCTACAGCCAAGGGAGAAGCCCCAGCTTCTTCCTAACATCCACCCCACAGATGTAACCCTACAGAGAACAGCCTTTTAGTGAGCTTCTCAGCTCATTTGAGTCCCACTGGCTGCTCAACCCCGTGTCCACCAGTTAATTTCCAGATCAGCACCTCTTCAATTCAGCTCTAAGGTCTGAAGGAAACAACACAATACACCCCAATGGTCCCACTCACCAACGTACAGCGGGGAGTTGTTTGCTTCTGCAAAGTCATCCACATAGGAGATTCCAAAGGGCTGGATGGGAACGGTCCCGATGCCAGCCAGGAGCTGGGCAATCACCATCATGGCCCAGATGCTGCTGGCCTCCCTCTGGGGGTCCTGGGTGGTGTTTGGGCACATAAACTTGTTCTCTGCATAGCAGAGTTCAGCCTGGACGTGGCTCTTGTTACCTGAAAGGGAGAAGAATAAGTGTTATGATGCTGGGCATGTCACAGCATCAGAGTCCTTCTGGTTGGAAAAGACCTTGAAGATCATCCAGTCCAACCATAACAAAACTCTACCAGCCCTCAACCCAACTCTACCAGCCCTTAACCCAACTCTACCAACCCTCAGTGCAGCTCTACCAGCCCTTAATCCAGCTCTGCCAGCCCTTAATCCAGCTCTACCAGCCCTTAACCCATCTCTACCAGCCCTTAACCCATCTCTACCAGCCCTTAACCCAACTCTACCTAGTCCAGTGCTTGAACCATGTCCCTCAGCACCACATCTCCACAGCTTTAAAACATGCCCAGGGATGGGGATTCCAAGGCCTCCCTGGGCAGGCTGAGAAGTGGAGGAACGAGGATTGGAAGCCAAGAAAGGAAGGAATCAAAGCATGAAAAGGAAAAGAGAGATCAAGGTAAATACAGAAATCTCCAGGTTTTGCTTCTAATATGCAGATGGTTATTTTTTCTTCTGCTGAAGAGAAGAGGATAAATCATGAATACACCAGGTACCTGCCTCAGTGAGGCTGCCTGATGAAGTAGAGACCTTTTCCAGAACCTGCCCTCCCACACTAAATCCCAAAACACTGAGAAGTGCCCAGTTTTGTGAAGTAGGGACACACAGTTGGAAGAAGTGGCTGCTCCATCCCTGGCAGTGTTGAAGGGCAGGTTGGATGGGGCTTGGAGCAACCTGGGCTGGTGGGAGGTGTCCCTGCCCATGCAGGGGGTTGGAACTGGGTGATCTTCAAGGTTCCTTCCAACCCAAACCAGTCTGTGATTCTCTGGTTGATTTCAGATGGATTTCTCAGTTTATTTCACAGTTCTCAGAACCCTTCCCTCTGGGGAATCCCCCTGAGGTCAGTGTGACAAAAGCCAGGCTGGGATTTTGATCAAACTTTTAAGGCTGCTCAGAGAAGAAGGAAATGAAGGAATTTCTCCTGGGAAGGATCAGGTGCCTTCAAGCTGCCAGCAGAGGATCACAAGCTGCAGCAAGGCTGGACCCAGCCAACCAACCAAAGGCTTCAGAGAGACAGTGTCAAAACCAGGGGATAAGCCTTGATAATGATGGATGGAAAAACCTGGTTTGCATGGAAAATGAAGGAGTTCCTGTCCTGGTTTGAGCAACCAGAGCAAGCCCTGGGCTTTAGATCCCAACTCTTCCCACACTGGCTTTTCTTTTTTTCCTTTAAATATTATTTGCAATTGGTCCAACATTCCCACCACACCTTTTAACCTTCTGACTGTGGATTTTCTACACTTCTGAGCAACCAGACACCAAACAAAGCCAAGTATTTGTTGGGTGCTGAGGGGTTTTCTTTGGGGTTCTACCACCTTTGCTCCCTGGTGGTACCCAGGCAGGAGCAGAGAGCTGGATGCTCCCTGGGTCCATCTGGCTGCCCTGCCTCTGAATCTCTGTTGCCCTCATCACTCAGGAACTACCCACCTCCTTCCAAAACAAGGCTCTTACTTCTTCATCCCATCTGGACATAGAATTCCAGACTGGTTTGGGTTGGAAAGGATCTTAAAGATCATCCAGTCCCAACCCCCTGCCATGGGCAGGGACAACCAGGTTGCTCCAAATCCAGTCCAACCTGCCCGTGAACTATTCCAGGGATGGGGACATGGGGAGGTCTCCAGCCTGCTCCAGAGTGCCATGCAAACTCCAACCAGGCCTACAGTACCTTCATGGGCTGGAAGTGCCTGGACACACATGGCTCTGGGCAGGGGAGCAGGATGATACCTGCTCCTTTGACTTCTTCCCTTTGCAGGAAGAGCAGCCCCCATCCCAGATCCTGACCAGTCCATAGTCTGCTGGAAAACTTGGCATCTGATGCCTGATCCAATCCCCAAACCATCTGCCTCAAGAAGCAGGGAGTCACTCCAGGATGAGGAGCAGGGAGCCAGCAGAGAGCTGCTCTCCACATCCCTGTGGGAGCACTGAGCCAGGGTGCTTCACAAATGATCCATGGGATTTGGGGTTGCAGATCCACTGAGGTGCCAGGATTTTCAGAGATCATGTAGGAGAGCAAAGCCAGAAGATCTCTAACCCTTTGGTGGGCAGCCAGGCACCTGTGAGCAGCTCTTTCTGCTGCTTTGCTCCCTGGCTGGGGTGGACACCTTGTTGTCCTGCAGCTCCTGACTGAAGGCAGCAATTCACCCAAGGGCACCCAGCAGCTGCCCAGTACAGCCCAGGCCTCCTGAGCCCAGAGGACTGGGACAACACACCCTGCAGAGGGCTCAGAGCCTTTCCAGAAGAAGACATCTGCCCACTAGAGCTGCAAAGCCTGGTGCTGCTGCGATGGGGGCACCTGCTTGGGGGGGACAATGTGGTGTGGAGCTGAGGTGACATGGAGCTTTCAGAAGTGACAGTCCCCAGGAGGCTGAGGCTCATTAGCACCTCGAGGATCTAGGGCTGAAGTCACTTTTGGGAAGACCAAAACCAGCCTGGTGACACACCAAGCAGGCTCTCTGGGCACTGCAGGGGAGCCTGAAGCTGTTTGTAGGCACCAAACCTGCCCAGCTAAACCAGTAGCTCCTCTTGATATAGACAGCAAGGCTTACTGGCTGGAGCAGCCCTGGGGACAGGGAACTCTGTCCACCTCAGTTCTCCTGCTGCAAGACCTCCCTGACTCTACTGAAGACAATGTCACTCTGCTGCCCAAAATGCTTTGGGCTCCAGAGGAACCACCAGCCTGGGCTCTCAGCAAGGCAAAACCACCAAAGCCAGGAGAAAGGAGAAGGAGGCCAAAGCCTAGAATGTCCAACAAGGTGTCCACACAGACCCAGCCTGTGCTCCCAAGCCTTCTTATCAGCCAGATGGATGGCTTTGCTCCCAGAGCTGGTGGCACTGACCTGCAGTGCTACAGCTATTAACTTCTCCAGCACTTGGTGGCACTGCTCAGGTCCCTGCAGTCATCTTTGCTTCTGCACCTGTGAAACGGGTGTCATTGAGCCTATTCGTTCCCCTCCTTGTCCTCCCATCACCTTCCTTGCCCCTCTTTCCCCTCCCTTTCCCTCAGACATGAGGAGGAAATTGTGGAGTGTGAGGGTGGTGAGAGCCTGGCCCAGGTTGCCCAGGGAAGCTGTGGCTGCCCCATCCCTGGCAGTGTTGAAGGGCAGGTTGGATGGGGCTTGGAGCAGCCTGGGCTGGTGGGAGGTGTCCCTGCCCATGCAGGAGGTTGGATCTGGAAGATCTTTAAGGCCCACAGCTTCCCTGGGCAACCTGGGCCAGGCTCTCACCACCCTCACACTCCACAATTCCCTCCTCATGTCTCACCTCACTCTCCCCTCTGCCAGTTTTCATCCCTTCCCCCTTGTCCTCTCCCTCCCTGTCCTTGTCCCAAGCCCCTCCCCAGCTTTCCTGGAGCCCTTTCAGGCACTGGAAGCTGCTCTAAGTTCTCCCCAGAGACCTTACAAGCCTCCAGCTCACAAGGTAGCACAGTCTAACAACCACATTCTCCTCCTTCCAGCTCCTCCTGACACTCAACACGAGCCACAGACCATCCACCACTTCTCCTCCTGTGGCTCCTCCCTGGCCCTGAGAAGCGTTTCTGCTCCCAAACCAGGACCAGGAGCTCCTGGAGCTGAGGTGAGAGGCACTTACCAGTGCTCAGCGAGGTGTACTCGTAGGGGCCCGACAGAAAGTGGGGCAGGGTGACCAGGAAGGCCCCCAGGGCCAGGAGCAGCCCCCCTGCCCCGATCACCCGCGGGCGGTGAACGCGGCTCCCGAAGTAGCTGACGAAGATGATGAGAACCACGTTGCCAATCTGGGGAGGAGAGAGAGGTGCTGCTGAGTGCAGCTCCTGGGGAACGTGGGGGGCTCTGGAGGGTTCCAAGGGTAGGTAGGGGTGGGTAAAGGGGTAGGGAAACATGCAGCATGCTCAGGTTAGGGGGATGAGCAGCTCTGCTCTGGAGCCAGGCTGGGAGAGTTGGGGTGTTCAGCCTGGAGAAGAGAAGGCTCCAGGGAGCCCTTAGAGCACCTTCCAGTGCCTGAAGGGGCTCCAGGAAAGCTGGGGAGGGACTTGGGACAAGGGCAGGGAGGGAGAGGACAAGGGGGAAGGGATGAAAACTGGAAGAGGGAGATTGAGGTGAGACATGAGGAGGGAATTGTGGAGTGTGAGGGTGGTGAGAGCCTGGCCCAGGTTGCCCAGGGAAGCTGTGGCTGCCCCATCCCTGGCAGTGTTGAAGGGCAGGTTGGATGGGGCTTGGAGCAGCCTGGGCTGGTGGGAGGTGTCCCTGCCCATGCAGGGGGTTGGATCTGGATCATCTTTCAGGTCCCTTCCAACCCAAACTGGTCTATAAATGCTGCTCATGTTGAGGCATCAATTTGATTCCCTTCCATTTCCCCACCTTTGTTCCCTTTCTGGTGTGCCAGCCTTCAGCTTCCTGGATCTAAATTTCAGCACAGTCTTAGTCCCCACCCTGGTACTTCTGTTCCACCAGGGAATTTCCTCATCAGCATTGTAAAATGCCTCATTAGGGAGGCAGCAGGCAGGGCAGGCTTTGCTGAGACACAACCTGGGGCTGCCATATCAGCTTTTCTCTTTGCTTTTCCTCAACTCAGATGTGCCACTTTCATCAGTGATATTTTGCTGGAATTGCCCTAGTTTATTCATCTTCCAGATTTGGGGGATTTGTACCAATACCCATTGCCCTGCATGACCTAAATGCAGTCTGTCCTGTCTCCCCAGCACAGAAAGGCTCCCAAGACCCATGCTAAGAGGTACTTACCAGTTTTCTCTGCCCCATGCAGTTGCTTTATTTGCAAATCTGTCAGACACCAAGCTCAGAATTTCAAACACCCTTTTGCATGTAAAGAAATTGTTCAAATTGCCACCTATAGATGCATTAAAAGAGAAAGCTTGACCTGTTTGTGTGTTGGGAGTAAATATTTCCCTTAGGAGCTTCCAGCAAAGCTTTGTCCAATTTTCTCCTTCAGTCTTGGTGCTGGACTGAAAGAGATGATTTTGTCAGGTTTCACTTTCTTGATTTTTCTTTTCTGAAAGCTTCACCTCTGCAAATCATGTGTTGATCTTGAAAATCAAGAAGAAAAACTCTCTAGCTCCCCCCTTCCCCTCCCATTAAAAATTCTAAAAGCTCCGTAGCCTCAGAGCACAGCCTTTCTGAAGACATGAAAAAGAATTGCTGATTTATTTATTATTTATAGAACTCATTATATTTTAACTCCAGGGGGTGGCAAGTGTAGTTGAGACTCCTTCAAACAACTTGTGGGCCCTCCAGTGGTGCTCACCATGTGAGGGACTTGGGACAAGGGCAGGGAGGGAGAGGACAAGGGGGAAGGGATGAAAACTGGCAGAGGGGAGATTGAGTTGAGACATGAGGAGGGAATTGTGGAGTGTGAGGGTGGTGAGAGCCTGGCCCAGGTTGCCCAGGGAAGCTGTGGCTGGCCCATCCCTGGCAGTGTTGAAGGGCAGGTTGGATGGGGCTTGGAGCAGCCTGGGCTGGTGGGAGGTGTCCCTGCCCATGCAGGGGGTTGGATCTGGGTGATCTTTAAGGTCCTTTTCAACCCAAACCATTTTGTGATTCTATGAACATCATAAAGGTCCCATTAGGTGGGTTTTGTTGGCTTGGGACAACCTAAACATCACTTGAACCTCAGCGTGGCTGGTAAAGAATCCTTTTGATTTATGTTTACATGGGCTCCCCAGTTTGTCTCTGTGACTTTTGCTCTTGGAATTGCTGCAACCATCAAGCAGAAAAGCCTGCAGGCCTTGGCAGGCAGGGGAGTTCACCCAGAGCTCCAGCAAAGCACAGAAACATCTCTCATCAAAGAGAAGAGGATTCCCAGAGCCCCGCTTCTTGGGGGAGGATCCCACACAAGAAGACCAGCTCTATGTCAGGTGGGATGTCACCAAGCACTTCTCTGCCTCTGCCATCACAAGAAAGTCTGTGCCAGGAGGTTTTTTCTTGGTGGGCCTTGAAGAGCTGGTCAGGAAGGACCCAACTCATGACAGTGGGAACTAGAAGACTTCGTCCATAGAGGAAGTGATTGGAAAGTGTTGATGAGAAAAGTCCTGGGCCAGGTCAGCAAAGTGACACCAGTGAAAGTCACCCCTTTGCCACAGGGCCTTCAGGAGCTTGGAGCACTAGGGCTAGATCTTGGAGAGGCTGGGGGCCAAGGTCTCCTTTTAGAGAAAGCTTGGCAAGCCTCAGGCCAAGGTCATTCCTAAAGCCAGTGAGAAACCTGTGACAACAAATACTTGTGCTGGAACTTGCCCACAGAGCTGCAGTTTGTGGAGAACATTCCTCACAAAATGCTCTTCTCCACAACAGCTGTGAGAACTGTGAGAAGAACCACCCTGTGTCTTTCCTGTCTCCCAGTCACGTCTCTGCTGAAGATGTGTTTGACATCCCAGGTGTGGAGTGGCTTCCTCTGAAGCAACCTGTTTTCTGCTGCCCTCTCCAAGGCCACGTCCTCACCACATCACCCTCCATTCAACCTCCCAAGCACGTGGTAACAGCAGAAGTGAAGTGTGAAGAGGTGTCCAAGTGTCCAGCCATGGATGCTTCATCCAGCACGTGGAGGCACAGACAAGGAAGTACTGAGTGTGAACAACCCTGAGATCCTATTCTGGGAAGGTCCTCCCTGTCTTCTGGCCACCCCTCAGACATGTCTCACCCAGTTACCTCATGTAAGCTGGAGATGAAGCCTGAAGAGAGACTGGAGAGCCCGAAGCGCTTCTCGATGGTGGTGAGGCTGCTCTTGAAGTTGGCACTGTAGAGGAGCTGGGACAGCTGGAGAAGCCCATGGCACAGCACAAACACCTGCAGGCAAACAAAACAAGCAAGGTGCCATCCCAGTTAGTGCCCAGTGTGAGGGATCTGAGAGCCAAGCACACGTGGCCTCAAGTTGGCCAACACGACTGCACCTCTGACATGACTGGAGGGCTTGGTCCTGGGTCCTGTGGGAAAATGATTGATGCAGTGTGGAGAAAAGAGGACCAGGACCTCTGCTTCACCATTACTGGTGATTATTTGCACTGCAGCAACCCTTGTGCAACCCCCAAGGGCAAGTCACCAGCCCTAGAAGGACCTGGGAACAGGTTGCCCAGGGAAGCTGTGGCTGCCCCATCCCTGGCAGTGTTGAAGGGCAGGTTGGATGGGGCTTGGAGCAGCCTGGGCTGGTGGGAGGTGTCCCTGCCCATGCAGGGGGTTGGATCTGGATGGTCTTGAAGGTCCCTTCCAAGCCAAACCAGTCTGGGATTCTGTGACCTGTTGTACAAGGATGAACCAGTGGGACAGGCTTGACTTTGCATGGACTCGTTGGGTGCTCCTGAGGCCACGTTGGAGCCAACCCTGGAGCTGCAGAGTGTGGCAGCTGAGTGGGAGCTGTGCTCCTCTGGGTAACCTGAGATCCAGCATTTCCAGTTGGCCTCTTGAATCCCCTCAGAAGCCAAGAAACGGAAGCTGCTCCAAGGGGTGGTACAAGAAAAAGTCAAAATAAAAGGACTTTCAAAGCCCCGGAGGGAACGGATAAAATCTGCCCCGTGGAGTTTCACTCCTGGAGAACCTCTGGAGAGATCTAAAAACAGCATCTTGCCCTCGAGCAGAGCCAGAACTTGAAGGGAAGGGAAGAAGAAAAACTATCCTGGAGGAGAAGGGGGGTACACAGGGAGTTTATGGGGCAGGGCAAGAGCGTGGTGGGAAGAACCTGGGTGGCCTGGGAGAAGGAAACACTCTCCAGGAGGCAGCTTCCAAGTGTCTTTTGATCTATATTTAGTCAGAGCAGTCTTCCTCTATTTTTCTTGGAATGGGATGGATCCACACGGTGCCAAGAGTCTTTTCAAATCATTGGAGGGGGAGGAAAAAAAAAGAAAAGGGAAAAAGTCTTTTTATTTCCATTTGCAGGAAATCAAATATTTGCTGGATACCGGAAGAGTGTCCTGCAAAGATAAGGGTGGGAAGCATGAGATGATGGATGGGGGGTCAAAAATAATGCAGGGCTGACAAATTCATGGTGTCCTTGGCCAGGAGAGCAGCAATACTGGTCATTATTTGAAATGGCAGCAGTGCCCAGAAGCCCTGACCCAGTTGGTGGAACAAAAAACAACAAGCCAGCAAGGAGAAAAAGAATGAGGTTTGTCCACCTGGCACGGAGGATGAAAATCCCATAGGTGGGTGGAGGGGCTTTTTGGGGAGCAGGGAAGGACACAGAACCAGCAAGTGCAAGAGGATTTGGGTTGGGGAAGGTGGGCGAGAGGATGGGTTCTTGGGAAGCTTCTCCTGGATGGCACCAGACAGAAGACACAGCTGAGGATCTTGAAGAGTCAGGAGGTGGGAGGGATGCTGAGGGTGGGAGAGAAGAGGATGGAGGTGAAGGGAACAGAGAACATGGAGCCCTGGCAGTGTCAGGGGACAACCTGAAGACCACAGAAAAGTAGGAGAAAGACAAAAACAGAGGGCAGAAAGGTCCCCAAGGCCAGGCTGCCAGGCTGAGCTCCCCAGGCAGCCCTGGGAGGGTGGCAGCAGCCAGGCCAGCACGGGGCAGGAAGGGACAAAGCCCCAGGCTGGGACTTTTGCCTGGAGAACAAGCTGCAGAGCAAGGCCACGGGCTGTAATGTGGGAAACCCTCCCAGACAAAGTGGAAGTGAAACATCTGAAAGTGACCTCTTGAAGCAGAGTGACCTCTGCAACCACCCCCAGATCTCAACTCCTACATTCACAGCCCCAGCACATGGTCCTGTGGATCCTTCACCTTCCCCAAGCCTTTCCCAAGATGTGGGATCACCCTGGAAGGAGTCCAGCCAGGCCTGTCTGGAGCAGAGAGGTGACTCCTTGTGACGAGCACTGGCGAGGAGGTCTTGTTGCCAAAGAACATTAATTGCTGTTCCTGGGGCTCCAGCCAGACCCTACTGAAGTCATTTGAGCAAGGAAGCGTTGGCTAAACAGCCAAGGGCTGGGACAGCCCAGGACACTGAGCAGCTGGAGGGAGAGCTGTCCCAGAGCAAGGCTCTGGAGAGCCAAGGAGCAAGGCTGGAGAAGCCAAGATGTTTACCAGCAGGGAGGACAGAGGGTGGATCACCAAGGCTGAAGTTAGTGCAGCAAATATCAGGCTGATCCCAGGGCAGGTCGGGGTAGAGGGGCTGCTGGTGGGGAGGGGAGGTGAGGAGGAAAGGCAGAGTGACTCCCTGGAATGGTGGGGTGGGAAGGGGAGAAGGAAAAGGCAAGGAAGGACTATGGGGAACCAGCACGGGCTGGGCTGGGCTGGGTGAGAGGGTGGAGGGTGGGAGATGAGGGGGAGCAGCTGTGGTTGGGAAGGGCAGAGCTGGCAGGAGGTGGCCTGAGCTGGGATTTGATGCCCTGGTGATAACCTGAGGATGGACAACACGGGGCTGTGGCCCCTGAGGTGCTGGGGAGCCAACTGGGGCTGCCTGCCAGGAGGGGAGGCAAAGTGGGAGGAACCCAGGTGGAGAGCAGTGATGGGGGAGAGGAAGACTCTGGGGGCCTTCTAATCCTGCTGCTGTGAGAAGGGTTGGCAGGAAAGGCAGGAGGGATGGTCAGGGGACCTGATCCCACACAGCAGCCTCAGCCCTGGGCTGCAGGGAGCCCAGAGGGTGGGAGGGAAGGGGCAGAGGAGATACTTGTTTTGGGGTGTAGGGGGGAAGAAGCTGCCCACCCAGAACAGTGGAAGCAAAACCAACCAGCCTTTGCCCCAGGACTTGGGGAGCTCACCTTTTCCAGATGCACTTTGATGGTCTGGAGGTGAGAGATGGGTCCCATTTAAGGCTTTCCCTGCATTCAGGAGACTCTATTCTCATTAAAATAATGAGGGCCCAGACCTTGGAGGCTCTTGAGTGCAAATAGGTGGGAGAGGGGCTCACTCAGAGGGTTTCCCAGAAGGAACCTGTGCACCACCTGAGCCTGGCATCAGGAAAGATGCTCCAGCTGGGAAGAACAGACTTCCAAGGCTGGAGGAGATGAAGGGCACCACCCTCCCACATCCCCTTGCAGGTTCTCATGTGTCTCTCCAGTCCTGGCCCTTCTCCCCACGCATCTTCATCCCACAGATCT